AGAATTGAGCCAGCGCCTGGGATCTGGAATGTCCCAGGGAGCAATTAATGTTCTCAGGATCTCGAAAAGGGAGACTCACGACATACCTGCCGGTTTCGTCTTTTGTGGTGGTCCGAAGAAAATTGTCCTCACAAATCACGTCGGATTCTTTTGCCACTTTTACTGGCAGATCCTCCACCTCCCAGAATTTGGTGAGGAGTTTATCGAGAGACGCTTCATACGTGTGTGCAACTTGCGTGGAAAAGGATGATATTTGATCATGCCTCGGAGCTGGTACTGGTCCTGTTAGAATCCAGCCGAAAATAGTCTCTTGACCGAGAAGCGAGCCACAGATGTTCGCTCGGGTACCGCTTAGTAGAATGGATGGAAGTATATCGGCCCCGATTAGAATATCTATTTGTGCGCTCTCATAGAACTTTGGATCCGCTAGCGGAAGTTCGGGAAGGTCTCGCAGGAAATGTTGCGGAAGCGGACATGAAGGAAGATTTCCGGCTATTTGTGGAAGCACGTAGGCAGTGGTGTTTAACTGCAAGCTAGGCCGGGTTGGAGAACGGATCGTGAATTGACAGATCTTTTTGGTCTCAGCGGAGACCGTTTGATTAAGTCCTGAGACCTGTGCTCGGATAACCTGGAACGGCAGTTTAATCAGGTTGAAAAGGCGCTCAGTGATGAAGGTCGCCTCAGATCCGGAGTCTATTAAGGCTCGCGCTTGGAAATTGGAACCTCGATGGCATATATTAATTATAGCGGTGCCTAGGAGGACTGACCTAGTGCCTGCCGCAAAATAATTCTGAAGCGTTGACTGCGTGCCACTGGCAGCCGAGGGACCGAGAGTATTTGGTCTGGATCTGGGCGTTGGCGTTGGATTTGCGCGCGCTGGGGATGGGCTGCTTCGGTGTAGGAGCGTGTGATGGCGGCCGCGGCACGTGAAGCAGTTATGTGCGCTTTCGCAGTCGCGCAACTGATGTGTCCGCGCAAAACAGTTTAAACACAGCTGCTTTCTTTTTATATATGCGATGCGTTGGTCGACCGTCATCTGGAGAAATTTGGCGCATGTGCGTACAGGATGGTTCTCTCTATTACAGAGATCGCACCCTCTAAGTTGCCTAGGTGCTACCCTTGTCTCGTATGAATTTATTCTTCGAGACGCCGAGTTGGAAGTGGATGCCCTGGGCTGAGTCTGACTAGAACCTGATGGTCGAACATCATCTATGGCTTCTAGTGTCCTGTGACGCTCCGTTAGGAAAACGTTCAGCTCGTGCCACGTAGGGATCTCGGCTTTGTTATGGAGGGACTGCTCCCATAGGGAAAGCGTAAGCTTTGGGAGTTTGGACGAGCACATATATACCAAGAGGCAATCCCAAGTTTCGACCTGAATACCGGACATTTCTAGTGCAGTAAGGCAACCCTGGATGGTACTTTGAAGTTCTTTCAAAGCTGACCCAGACTCCTGTGTGACGGACGGTACATTGAAAAGTATCTTTAATTGACTGTTTACTAACAATCGCTTGTTTTCGAAACGCTCAGTGAGGTTATCCCACGCTGATCGAAAGCCATCATTAGTAAGGGGTGAATTTGAAACTATATTGTGAGCGTCGCCACTCGTTTTAGCATTAAGGTGAAATAATTTTTCGACAGGAGTGAGTCTGGGATTGTTGATATAAATTGCCGTGAATAGATCCCTAAAGGTTGGCCAACGAAGATAGTCGCCGGTAAAAACTTCGGTATCGCACGGCGGAAGCCGGCAGCCTGACGGAATGTATGTCTGAGAAGGATCAGCTGGCGTTGGGGAAGGTTGCGGAAGTTGCGGAGTTTGCGCTATCATGTCTGCTATCTGGGCACCGCACCTTTCGTACGCGCTGTAGCAATACCCGTACTTAGCCTTGAGGACTGGCAAGCTGTCAGCTGCACCTTCTCCGGCTGCTACAAGGCATGCGGTACAGGCATCGTATTCTTGTTTGATGCGGATCCATACCTCTCGGATTTCGTCTCGGCGAATATTGAGGACGGATAACGTAGGAGGGACCGCCGAGGGAATATTTATCCGCGATTCCAATTCGGACAGTCGATCCGAGACTTCAATAAACTGGCTCATAGCGAGGTCGGCAGCCGTTGCAACCATTTTTGTGCTGGCTCGCGTGGTTCTTTCGATGGAAGAAGGAGCCTTTTTGGGAGGTGGCGTCTTGACCTTTTTAGGTGTGGGCGTCCTTACCGTGATTTTTGGTATTTTCGGTGATGGAACAGGGGATAGTTTGTTGGAACTTTCCCCGGACATACCAAACTAGGATGTTGTTAGGATGGAATGTGCGCGCTGATATTTCGGACAAAAATCAGCGAAACAATTACGGACCCACTTATGGACCGGTGGAAATAGGGTATCGACAATAGTCGATATGCGTGGCTGAATTATGGTTAAAATATTCCCCAGGCTTTTGGTGGAACGATGGAGCAAGAATGGAAAAAAATACCAAAAAAAATACCACAAAATAAAAATACTGAAAAAATACTGTATTTGATGAGGTATTTGTCGTTTAGTATTTTATAGGGGGTAGGTGGCCGAATTAGGATGGGATTGGATGTCCCCGGCAGTGTTTGGAGTTTATTGCTTTTGTTTTTCTTTATTTTAAAAATATTCGGAGACAAAAAAAAACAAAAAATAATACCTTTCAGTGGTATGCGGGTGGTATTTTTTTGAATTTTTCTTTTTTATCCCCAAAAGAAAAAATTGAGTATCGATATATATGCAGATTTACCAAGCTCAAGAAATAAGAAAAAAAATACTGGAAAGGGCGTTTTTTTTTTTTTTGGAAAAAAAAAATGTGAAACCGAAGAAATAAATTAATAAAATCAATAAATTAATAAATTAATTCCACTAGTTCCGCGATGGCGACAGTATTTTATATTTTATTGGAGTGGAACTTGGTGTTTATTAATTTTGTTGGAATTTATTTATGGGATGATTGAAAAAACCACTGCCCGAACTTTTGCGGGCTGTGTATTGGTGACGCGGGAATGCGCGGGATTATCGAGCTTTTTGCGGTACTGCAATTTGCGTGTATGTGTAGATGTATGGAATGATAGTGCCCAAAATAGGTAACTAAGAAAAACACACTGAGACACAAAAGTTATTTCACGTCGGCTTTAGGAATTTATTTAATATATATTTATTGGATGGCCGACGGAAATACTTGAGCTTTCGGAATTGGGGTGTAGTTATGTAGAAAAATATGTATAAATGTATGTATGTATATATATATGAAATATGTAATATATGTAATATGGATGTAATATATGAATATGGATGTAATATATGTAATATGGATGTAATATATGTAATCAATATGGCGGAAAATTTTATTGTAAATTTTGCCGGCGGGTATGTGTTGTAAATTTTCGATTTATTGTGGACTGTATTTGGATTTTTAATAATGTAAGCAAATATTGTCACAGCGGATGTACAATAAAAAATTAATATCAAAAATATTTGTGGGCCGAAATTGGCGGAACACTTAATTTTTGTTTCACTTTTTTGTGGAGAATTAATTGGAACTCAATTTTGAAATTAATTTATTTTTCACTGTTCACTGAATTTTTTTGAAATTAATTTATTTTTCACTGTACGCTTGACTTTTTATTTGCACACTTTAATTTGGATTTATATTTTTTTTTATTTTCTTCGATTTGATGGTGGATGTATATTTAGTGGATGTACGGCCAAATGCGAATATGAATTTTGTACATCAATATGCACACGAAAAGGAATTAGAAAATAGGCAATATGGCCGCACGTTGAAAGGGAACGAAGAAATAAAAGACGGAATTGGAATTGTAATTTACTAACTGCCGTCGTCGGATTAAATCGGACTTGGATTTTAGACAAATCGTACAGAAAGTCAAACGAATTATGTTCTTCGAATGGCTGACTGTCGACCGGCAGTTAATAAAAAAATTAATAAATTGGCACTTATCTGGCTCGAATGGACCAAAAAATGAAGAGATGGGGCTTCGGGGATGATCGTCGCTTGGGGGGCAGCTTCGTCGGGCGTTGCGGCTGTTGAACGTAGCCGGGTGGCAAGCTGTGGAATAGATGATGAAGAGAAACACTCGACGATCGCGGTGCGCAAAGGCAGGAAAAAAACTCGATGTGGTTTTCGTTTTATAGCGCGGACCGGCCGGGCGATGTATTTCACTCTTGAGACAATGAAAGACTAACTTAAACCTAATTGAGCGCTGCGTTTCAAAGCGCCGTGGACAAATTCCGGGAGCGGGAAGGCGGGAGAGCCTGGAATCGCAAGCGTCCAGTGCGGGAGAGCGGGAGACCGGGAGAGCCTGGATAGCGGGAGAGCCTGGAGTCGCGAGCATCCAGTGCGGGCGAGTGGGCATTCGCTACGAGGGAAGCGCGGGCAGTTTAAACGAGGGGAGAGCGGCGTAAACACTTAGTGTTATTAATTATTAATATTAATATGGCTATTACAAATATTAATAATTATATTAATATTATTACAAATATATTGTAGCATTTGGTCACAATATGCATACAAATCCAAGTCCCAAACAGTTCCTCAAGTGCCCGGTAATAAGATCGCCGTTGAGTGTAATGGGACTGGGCAGTGCAGAATTATAATACTGCATTGAAGAATTTGTTTTCATCTTTTGGCGCTGGTAAAACAAAGGCGTCCGTGGAGGGGCTTGTTCAATACATGATTTAGAGGTGAACGTCAAAAATAATGGTTTTATCTGGTCGTCTCGGGCCCATTTTCCTGCAAAGTCCTTAAGTCCCTTGCAAGTCGGCAACTTAAGATTGTGATTCATCATCAGCATTTGATCATCATATAAGAGACTGACCTTTTTAATCGGCATTTATTTTGAGCCAGTAGTAATATAGTACTTTTAGAGAAATTTGTTTATGAGTGGGAGGCTTCCGTGCTCTAAATAGTTAACTGTTAATACAATGCATATTGCTGTACAAAATAATATTAATAAAAACACATTGTTAGAAGTTTTATAAATAAATTAAAATGTATTTATTGATATGAATCAAGAATGATCTTAATTGTACAAGTTTTTTGTTTAAATTTTTGGATTTTCGAATGTTGGTCCTCGAGTAATAGTAATATCTGCATAGGGAGCAGATTGAGCAATGTGAAGCACCTTAAATTTCTTTAAGACAAGGAGGGAGTAAAACTTTTGAGCCGCCTGAAAAAAAAATAAATACCATAATTAATTTAAAACATTTAAAGTTCTAAAAATTTCAAAATTTTATGATCGACAATTTTAGAAACCAATACAAATTTCGGCGTAAGAAAACAAAAGCAATGCTCTGATAAAAAAAAAACATACTAATTCCCACTTTCCCAAATTCATTGCAGGAAAACATCCTGCGGAATCTAAAAGGTGCGAAATCGGCTCGCCTGTGTTAAAAACTCTTTCAAATCCAGTAATATTAAAGCACCGAATAGGTAGACGTCGCACAGAACAAGGTTGTCCGATGCCACATTGAACTAACTCCACAGCTCAGCATGGAGTGCTAAACTTATGTTCTGAAAAATCGAAAGTCACTTTTTAACTTAATTTGTCCGTAGCTTTTCCTTAAACTCATTTTTTGCAGTTTTAACGTTTTCAACAGCCGTTCTAGAGCGCAATTGTAGCCATTTGTATAAAATAATTTGATATTTTTGGGCGTCTAAAAACTAGAGTTATATAAAAGTGTTACCATTTTTATACCAGTATTAATGTGCATAGTTTTCCAAACAAGGAGGAAATATTATCAGCTTTTGCTTTTAAAACAACAACTGGACATTAAAAAATTTTTTGAGTAACTAGTTTTTTAAATTATTTTTTTATCTTAAGTCGTTAAGAAACATTTGGCGTGGAAAGTACATTTATTTTAGACTATTGTTTAGCTTTATTTCCTGCTAAATTTAAAGGTTTTTCAAACTCGGACAGGACGTCTCACTCATAGAATCCCATCAGTTTTTTCGCCACTCCCGTAAACTAGCTTTTCGGTCTTGACCAGAAATCTGAGAAGTTAAAAATGTGTTAGATTAAACTGTGCAAATGGATTCATAGAGTCACGGAGTCAACCATCAGTCGGAAAATCATGTTAAATATAATATTAAACACGAGCTTTTATTCATATATTTTAGCTTTCTATAATTTAATTAACAAGGCCTAATATCTGAGCTCTACCCGAATCATACTCAACGAATTGTCAGTTCTGTCAGTTTTATCGCCACCAGCTTTATTTATGTCGAATCAAACTCACATCTTAATAAACACAGAGGGTTTTTTTGATGCAATTCGTGAAGGTCAAATTAGCTTGGCCAATGGCTAATCAATTTTAGCGAACCAAATCAAGTGCTTTGTTGTCACCTTGTCTGTAAATTTGTCTGTTTTTTTAAAAAAAGAAATGAAGCTGCAAGTACTACATGCAGAAATATGACCACCGCTTTTAAAGTATTTAAAGGAGAACAGATAAAATTTAGTTCAGACAGAACGTCAGCAGCAACAGCTAAACGTAACGTCTAAAATACCACTCCACACAACTCACTTGACCACTTCCGAAGTTCGTATGCAGCCAAACGAGGACAATTCCTTGAGTTTTTTTGAAATCCCATGTTTATATGCTATCGTTATATGGAGTTTATTCGCGCAGTGAAAACATCTTGCCGATCCGACGACTAACTGCCAATAAGCGTCGTATGAGAAATATTTATGTATTATTATTTCACAAACCCCAAAACCTGAGATACAATTTTTGGACTTAGAATAAATTTATTGCAAAAAAAATCGAACACCACTTTAAACACCACATGGACCGTACCATTGTCAACATGTATATTTATTTAATTTTTTTGCGCGGAATTTCACGGCTTTCCACCACCCCAACCGACCGAGTGGCGCAGCCGCGTATCTTACGGCACGATTCGCGAGAAGATAGACGTGAGATATAAAAGTATGGGTAAAAGACGGAAAAATGAAGAATTTTGTGCTAATAAAGTACGTATTAATCGTTTCAAGAGCACCAGAGTGTTAAGATTTGATATTATAGGAAAAAGTCTATTATAGTCAGAACATAGTACTCTGAAACAATCTACAATGATTAAATATAAAGGGAATAACATTTCTAGTTAATCTACTAGGCACAGACAAGTTTAGCCGAATTACACACTCGGTGACCAAAATTTCTCAAAAATTACCAAACCGATTTTAACCAAATTTTGAAGCCCTTTCTTTTAAAACCTAAAAACCTTCGTTTTTTTGGCAATTTGAATTTTGTGTTTCAGACTAACCAGCTCTTTATTAGATTGGTCACCGCAAACCATGTTTTCTACGCAGACCTTCACGGGATCACGAACCACGCCTCCATTTTCAAAGGTTTTTTTAAATTTTTTTTGCGAGAACTTGTAGTTTAAATTGTATATTTTTAGAAAATAAATTGTTTTGTTCAAGAATGCTGGTGGTTTTTATAAAATTAATTCATGGAAATTGTCGATTTTTTCACGCTACAACTAGGGTTGCCTCCTTATTAACAGAAGTCTAATTAGAATAAGAAGGTAAGATAAGATTTACTTTGTACTGATTCAATGCGACCAATATGTATTCCGTATTGTGAACTCCAGACGGGAGAGCCATACTCCAGAATCGGACGGATTAGCGAAATAAATAGAGTCTTACTGACATAAGTATCATCAAATTCTTTTGACCACCTTTTCATAAAACCAAGCACGCCTCTTGCCTTTTTAAAATTTGACGAGAGAGAGCCATACTCCAGAATCGGACGGATTAGCGAAACAAATAGAGTCTTACTGACATAAGTATCATCAAATTCTTTTGACCACCTTTTTATAAAACCAAGCACGCCTCTTGCCTTATTAAAATTTGACGAGATATGATTAAAAATTTTAGTTTAGGGTCCAAAAGGACGCCAAGATCGTTTGCAAGAGTTAATCTATACAATTAACGTGTAACTCGTGTATTTCGGATTGACCCGATAAAAAGTCAACAGCTTGCACTTAGAACCGTTTAAATTTTGTAAATTAATTCGGCACCAGTTTTAAAAGAATGAGAGAATGACTTATAATTGATGGAAGATCGTTAATAAATAATGTAAAAAGTAACGGACCCAGATAGCTCCCTTGTGGGACACCGGAGGTAACACGGAGAATTTTAGAAATTGAATTTTTAAAAAGGACCCTTTGTGACCTGCCATTCAGATAACTTGATTTCCATCTAAGAAGATCGACTGGAAAACCTTACAAGTCAAGTTTATAAATGACGTCTGTTTGAAAACTACTATTGAAGTCCTTTATCACAAATAAAGTAAACTCCAGAACGTTAGTGATCGTGGATATCTAGTGCCTCAGTTTTAAAACTATCTGCTTCAAACTTTCCCAAAAGCTGTCTTTCTATCGCAGGTAGTTATATACTATACTTATAAGTCGGAACGAGCCGGATCGAGCGACTATATCATATAGCTCCCATTGGAACAATCGGAAAAAACAATTTTAAAAAATTATAACTTTGTTGTTTTTAATTTTTTTGTTATTCTTTGGGATTTGGTAATATTTAAATATTATAGAATTGCAGTTTTAATTAATTTTTTTAAGCTCGAGTCCAGCGCAGAGCTCGGGGAAAACTATCTCTAGCAACCAGAAATAGCAAATCAGCCGCATTAAGCCGACTTTAGGTTGCCGCATGAACAATTTCATCTCGTTCGCAACCTCGACACCAGCGTCACAACAGAACTGCAAATTCGAACCTTTCAAAGGGTCATAACTTGCCCGATCAACAAAACCAATGCACTTAGTGTGCACCATGTATTCATACAGCCAGCAAGTCATGTTAGAATGATCAGCCCTAACTATGAGGCTGCATTTTTTGCAAAAACAAACCAAATTATTGTTACTCATTCTACTTATTTGAACCACTGTACCAAGAACACGAAACTGAAATTTATGAACGAACATAAGTACCGCAAGAGCGCAGAAACTACACGCCTAAAACTTTCAGAACAAAGAGAGTTAGTTAAAGTACATGCAAAAAAAAAACCTAAAAACAGCACTACGAATAACGAACTGAACCGAAAACACAGAACAGAAATATAAAATTAAAATAGTTTTGTTAAATTTTAAGTTTGTGCACAAAGTTAATATATGTCAAAAATATTTAAATGTATATTTAAATAGTTTAACGATTGTAAAAAAGGTTTGATAAAACTAACTAAAAAATGCATAATTCTACAAGCGAGTTACTTTTAAATTACAGCTTAACATTTATTTTGTTCGTTCCGCCAAAACTAGACAAACCAAATCCAAAAGGAAAAAGTATCCAATTTATGAAAGTGTAAAAACAAGAAATTAAGCTTACTTTGACAAAGCCGACGTTTAAATACCTTTGTTGACATAATACAAATATAATAGTCTAAAAAACATGTATACAAAAATTTGTATGCGTATATGCTAAAAGCAATACATAATTTAGGATTTCTCAATTAATTTTTCAATTTCTTGCGAAAGTTTTATCCAGATATCTGGAAATTTGAGAGTCTAGTTTGCGTAACAATATATTTCTATATATAAGGGTACTTAACTGTGATCGTATATTTTTCGGATATTTTTAACACATTATTAATTCATTTATATAATTATTAATAGCTCAAGGTTCGACTTTTGTTCCAAGCTATTCGGTTGTGTTTATTTCAGAGCTCCCTTATTTGTAATACTATTCTATACCCTTGCAGAGGGTATTACAGAAGTTTGTAACGCAGTGAAGGAGACGTTTCCGACCCCATAAAGTATATATTTTCTTGATCAGGATCAATATGAGAACCATGTCCATCTGCCCGTCTGTTTCAATACCGTTTGCGAGCTCAGTTTAACAGCTAGCGATCTGAAACTCTCACAGTCGACATAAAACATGGGTACCCAGATCAAGTTTGAAGCTCCCCGATCGGACTTCTATATCCTATAGCTCCCATAGAAACAATCGGATATACCTTGCAAGAATTGAAGATATTTCGCGAAGTGTAAAAGCTATTGACATGCATCTTTCCAAGTATGATTTTTTATGCATACCTTCATTAGCTTAAAGCTCCCATAGAAACTATAGAGTGAAATAGGTTTAAATTTGATGTTTTTCAGGATATTTTGCGCAGTATATAAGCTATAGACATCAATTTTCCCAAGTCTTATTTA